TTTTCTCTTTATACTGAAATATTTTCCGCATAAGTGGATTAATTCCACGATCCGTTAAAGCATACGAATGCAAACAAACAGGCCACATATATCGCCATTTGTTTGAAATACTTTTTATTCTTCTGTCTGTTCGGTTTATAAATGACGCATTAGCGGAACGTATAGTTGTCAAAAAAGTAAATTTCTACATGACTTAAATTCAATAAGGCCTTTTTAACATTATATTCGCGGTAGCCTATGCGGTCACTTTGCTTAAGCGGCAGGGTGAGCGGTGTGGTTTAAAACAAATGCGTTGAACTCTTTTTGCTAATGCATTTTGTGCGACAAAACCTCACAGGTTAGCTAAACATAATTTTAAAATACAAATCTCAAATATTTCTGCAAATAAATGCGATTCCTTCCACTTGACTTCACTTGAATCTGAACAATTTTGGATAAAATTTCCCAGGTCTCGAAGGGATATCTTCTATACCTATTTTACTTATTTTGGAGTTCCTCCGTAGCATAATCTACATTAATAAGCAGTTTGGTTTTGTCTTTCATAATAGCATAGAAAATTCCTTCGATATGAGACTTGTCCAAATTTCGCCAAAATTAATGACCATTTCCCCTTATAAACTCAACTAAAATGGTGATTTTCCTAACTAAAAGGCTTTCGCAGAATTGAAGCCACTCAATGAATCAATTGGAAATCGGCAGACAGAGCCAAGGAACACCTGCCTAGTTGATTATTCAAGCAGGAAAACCGATCCCCTCGTTCCTCTATTACGGAACACTTGCTTGACACGGGTCATTCTGTAAATCCTATAATCTCATTCCGAGTTCTTGTTCGAGCACGAAAATCTCGCATCTTCCGCTACCTGGAGGCAGCCTCTATAAGACGCTCTAAACCGGACCTATGCAAACAGTTGGAACATGTGGTTAACCTAGCCTTGGACATTCCCCTGCCCCCTCCCTTTTTCCTGCAACCCATTTTCCCCTGTTCCTCCTTCTACTTTGTTTTAACTTTCTTTCTTAATTAATTAGCTTTTGTGACTATGACCTGTGACCTTTTTGTACCTATTAAATTTCGTATTTTTCGCATTCGTTACACTTCAACGCACTGGAGTGGCTGCAACTGATGAGCGCTCCCGAAATGTTATGGATGCATTAAATTTTGCACTAATCAAAATCTATTAATCAAAATAGTGTTACCAAATATATGATAAAGTGCCAAGTCAAATTCCATCATGAAAGTTGCACAGTCTTTAGCGAATACCTTATATTGTTCGTTTGCGTAAGGCAGTATTATTCAATCACTTTGGCGGTGTTTAACAGTCGCTGTAGCAGCCGTCCCGGTAC